TTCTTACGCAGGATGCGACGATTGGCTGTACGTGTTGTTGTGCTGGAATGAAAACGCAAGGGCCTTGTTCATAAGGGCTGCGTAAATGCGGTACGCGCGCCCATTGAATGTGATTTGGTGTATTTAAGTGACTGAGAGTCTAAGAAAGGGGGGGGGGGGGGGGGGCGCGGCTTGTCCCAAGAGTCTTATTAACGCTCTGCAGCTAGTGGGAGCGCGGTGTTAGCCGATCCAATCCAGTAGAAGGAATTACGAAACAATAAGGGCGAACATAATCAACCCCGGAAGGAGAAGTACAGTTACCGAGGCTCCTATTATGTTGAAAATACATATCAGAAGAGGGACACATCTGAATCAAAGTAATGTCACAACATAAGTCGTCGGTTGGTCGCGGGCTGTTGACAGTCAGACAATACAATTATGTGAATTGGTTATAATAAACGCGATGGAAGATTTCTGAAGGTAAACGAAAAATATATTTCTGGAATTTTCGGGGAGGTTGCTCGGTAGTTTAATAAAGAAACGCTTACGTGGTACAAGGCGCGGTGCAAACCTCGCTCGCATTTACAGGACCGCCTGTGCAACAATTTCGACAGCAACTCTTTTTTTGTTTGTTACGGGAGGCGCCCTCGAAGACGCGCGTCGTTAAACCGAAATATACCGGAGACAGACGAAAAAGAAGATCTGGTCTCTTTCTAAAACGGTTTACGAGCGACAGTCTCTTCATGGCAGGTCACTCTCAATCTCAGCAAATGTGCCGCAAAAGCCAAGGCTCTCCGGGAGACCTCTCTCGGAAATTCTGGAACTTGACGTGCGAGGTACAAGGACGGCAGTTTTGTCACCAGTACCCGTTGAGTCGACGGCACTTAATTTACGAGCTAATAAAATTTCCGAACCCCTCGAGCAACTGGTCATTTTGAGTGTAATTAATTCTACACCGCGCGATACAGTCAACGCGAACGGGACACCGGCGCATTTTTTTCTTTTTTAATTTTGCCGAGGCAGAGAATTGACAGGCCCCAAATTTTACCACTAAGGGGGGTGTAGACGTTCCAGCCCTTGTCCCGTACACGACACCCCATAACTTCAGTTTGACGTACAGCGCGCTGGCGTCGAACTGAGCACCCCAGCTTTCGCGAGAGGGTTGATGACGATGCGATATGACATATGAAAGAGCTAAAGTACGTATAAAAGTCTACTGAAAAAAAACAAAAAAAAACAGACAGGTTTTGCAGTTGAGCCTAGAAAACCCCGATAACTTTTCTTGCAGTCAGTCACACTTACATTGACTATTTTAATGAGTTGTACAACTCGGTCTATCAAGCCCCTTGTGAAATTTGGTAGCGTCGGCACAACGTCAGTGCGCTGTACGTCGAACTGGAGTTTTGGGGTGTCGTATATGTGACAAGGAGTGTAACGACTACACACATTTTTTTTTTAGAGTGCTAAATAAACACTTTCCGCAAAATCAGTATAGTTTTTATGACAGCTTTTTTTAATTCTGCGAGAAATAGAGACTGCGGTTACTTGTTCTAGCTAACTATGCTGCACTGTGTACGTTTCGTCCCGATTCTTCTGCTCCGAGTGAAATACTGCGAGGCGTCAGTGGGAGCTAAAACAAGTTAGAACAAATCCGCAGGAACAAGCCGTAGAGATCAACCCGGAAGTTAAGGACTCGGGAAGGAGTGTTGGGTTTCTCTTTCACTCCGTTCCAAGGCGCATAAATCGAGGGACCTTAAATTTCCATAAACAAACTAGTTCACTCAGCAACGAGATATTTCCCTAAGGCCACTGCCTGCAGGTATCCAGAAATAGAAATATGACTCAAGAACAAAAATGAACTTGGTATGTGAAAAATGCCGTCAATAGGCGTCTCTGTATTGTTTGGTCTCTATGGACCGAGGTATTAAGTTGGGTTAATTGATACATCATTATAAAAAAAAAAAAAGTAGAACAGCGCTGATATACACGAAGGACAAAATGGAACGAGGTACTCACCAGACATGTACACGCCACCGAAATAAAGTAAGTAAATACCGTTAATAGTTACTGAAACGTAATAAAGTAACTAAATATCATTAATGGTTACTCAAAAAGTAATTGAGTACGTTACTTGTTACTGTGACTCAAAGGGAACGCGTTAGGTCAGTTTGAAAGTAAAGCGTTATTTTCTCGTTACTGCGAATGTGCCCTTTTATGGGGCAGTAGCCGCTTCCAGTATTTGCCTTCGTTCATAATTCCTCGTTTATTAACGCGTTCGTTCAGGGACACCTGTGGCTATACCGACGTAGAAAGTGCGCGTCTTTTTATGGTATATCTAGCGCAGGGGTGTCCAGGGTGACACAGGGTTAGAGCCGAAGACAAAACTACAAAAGTTCAGAGAGCCGCAGAAAAGAACAAAAGAAAAGGCGGGGGGGGGGGGGGGGGCTACTTTTAGCAAGACACGATGTGGAGGGAGCAGACCTTTCCATAATTGTTGACCACAACAAATAACACCAGGCAGCAGAACGTTTCTTCAACCGCTAAGCAAAAATGAATGCGTGGTTCGCTAGCCAGCCACTGCTCTTGACACCCGTTATGCGTGTACGAATCGAGATTATTTTTAGAATAATAAAGGAAATAGGGTCACTGGACACATCTATGTGTCAAAAAGCAGTCCACCTGTGTGTTACGCAGGGTAGTACAAAGCTGGTCATGACAGATTTTTTTTTTTAAATTCTAGAACTTTTTCCTCTTGGGGATACAGGAGGGGAAGGGGGGCACGTTTACCAGGGAGCCACGAGCCGCACTTGAAACCGCGAAGAGCTGCACGAGGCTCGCGAGCCGCAGTTTAGCCACCCCTGACCTAGCGTTTTCACGTCGTGCAAATTACGGGCGCGGGTTAGGTTGGTTACTTGTGCTGTACACGTTCCCCTCTTCAGGTAACTAGATACCGGTATTCCTCACTTCTTCAAAAAGTAACTTGTTTCTTCTTTTAAAGAGTAACCAAGTCGTTACATCGCCACCGAAAAGAAAAAGTAACTATTAGAGGTAACGCGCTGGAAGACACAAAGCGTCTTGTGTCTGCACACGATTCCTAATGACCTTCGCCTAGTTTAGCGCCGTTTTACCATTTTATAACTCTAGGCCTCTCGAACAAATTGTTTCTGGCAGGCGCCATCTTCAGAGCTCGTGCGCGTGTGCTTTCTTCGTTTTCCGACGCCACGAACGGGCACGTGCTAGACTGTGGAGATCGCAGGCGGGGCGCGCCTATGGATTTGTAAACGTTACAAAGGCGTATATCTCGCGTTACAGTTTGTCCCTTGTGAAGCAACCGTGGTAGATCTGACACTGGTGTCGACTTACGTCGGCAGATAATTGTTTTGAAAAGCACGCAGAAACACAAATCACGCGGACGATTATCTTGTACGTACACGTCGTACGAATCTGCTCGAGCTACTATCTTTTAGGACGTGCACCGAATGATGCCGGACCGGTGAACAGGTCGCGAGGTCGATGCATTCGTCGGCGGCGGCGGCAAGTTCGAATGCGTTGTGTCGAGATTTTCGGCGTACACGTCTCTTGTACGACGATGCTGGGACTTTTATGAGGCGCAACTTCGCGATTTCGGGGAAAAAAGTCCGTTTCTCAATTTGGGTTAGGATGACTACTTTAGATCGTCTCTGTTCTTTGGTAACAGCAGGACGACCCTCAATGCGGGTACCTTAATCTTGGTAAAGTAGGTATAGGGACCCCAGGAATTGAAATTAGGGGGGGGGGGGGGGGGTCTAAATTTTAGGGGAGGGGTTAGGGGGGGAGCATTGAGAATAGAGGAGTCGTTGCGTATTAAGGGGGTGCCTTCAGAAAAACAAAGAATGTGTGCCCCCCCCCCCCCCCCCCCCGCAGGGGTGTGTAGGGAAATCACTGATGGGGAAACTAGTCAAAGCAGAGGCGTTACGCCAGCATGTACTTTTTTAGTAATTTTGCAAAAATCGCGGAAAATTTGAAAAATGCGAAATTTAAGTTCCTCGCCTTATGAAGTGCATATAATTTGGACCACGAGTAGGAGCAACGAGCTAGTGCGCCTTTTGAAAATAGATCGCCTGAATTTCTAAAAAAAGTGGTTTCGGCGAAAGTGAGCGGCATTAGGCCGCTCAATTCCAGCTTGAATTCTCGTGTCCACAGCCAATACTCTATAAGTCTACGCTTACTAGAACACTTAAGCGCATCGTTTCGATTAGCCTACCCATGCCAACCGCGTGCACGGTCCCACTTGGAGCACGAGAAAAGACAGCGTCCCACCAATAGATAGCAAAATTTACACGACGGGACAGTAGGAAGTAACATTCAGCGCAACATACATTTCAGAAGACCGAGTCTCTCACACACCCTGTTTGCTCTTTACGACACACGCGCCGGCTTTTCAGAGGACGGACCGACCATAGTACAATTCAAGTAAGATGCAATAAAAGCCCAACGTAAAATTATAATAATAATAAAAAAGCACCGAATTTGACGTTGGTGCTTAGACAGCGTAACGTCGGTCTGCCTTTGAGGCACGGGGCCACTGGTTTACGCTATTGACGAGAAACTTAGCCAGCGCAGTACGACTGTGCTGGCCTATGGTGTTTAACGTGCACCACGCAGGAGCGATGGACGACCGCACGCCGGCATGATGCTCATCCAGATCGTAAGAGGCAGGGACAAAAAAGATACACAATGAACTTGTGCTGAAGATATATCGACAGAAAAGGGGGGATATAAATGTTAATTTAGGAGAGTTGACATCCACGAGTTACGGTATGACCTCACTTATTTTGAACTTTAAATTGTAGCTCGACGTTCGCGCATTTTGACAGCTCCGGGCAGCAGGGGCTCGATCGCGATGGACAACGCGGAGAGCTGCGTGGCGGCGGGCACGCAGTCCACCGGTGCGGACGTCGATGAACCCGAACAGGAATGCCCGCGCGGCGGCGGCTACTCCCTGGTCCGCGTCGGCCGTATAGCCCAAAGGGGTGACTCACCTGGTCGGATGCTGTGTGTCGGCGGCGTCGATCGCGTGCGCGCGTTCCGGTGGCAGCGCGTTGACTGAGTTGGTTTGGCGCGCTTTGGACGAGGTCGGTAAGCAGCGCTGTGCGGCGGCTGGTTGGGACGACCTCCCTCTCGCAGTTTATCTTGCGGGCTATCGCGGGGGCTGGTGACGTCACCGCCGTCGCCTCTGTCGATCCCACTGTGGCCTTGTTTGCATGAGGGGGAGGGAGAGTTGCTCCGCTGCCCCCACTTCGCATCTTGACAACCCGTCGTCGCTTTGTTCCGTTTCTTTCTTCTCTCGACGGGAGAGAAAGATGACCTCGTCTGGGGGTCAATTCGATCCATCCATCAATTACGAGTGTTTCCGCTCTTCTAATTGATTGAGAACAACACCTTTGGCGCTCGATTTTAACGATGGATCTTGAAGTGCGGCCTGGCAGCGACAAGTTGGAATTGTATCTGGGCGTAGTCTCCAGCTTTTAACCACACAGTCGATATATCTATAAGTGACGTAAATAAACGTTAGCTATGTTTTGAAGAGACGCTCGAACCGGGGGTCACACTGCTTCTACATCATACAAAAGACAGTCTGCAAACAGATTCAAACGCGAGTCACTGCGAGATCCCTGCTTCGAATGCCGGGTGGCAATGCGTTCAAGGAGAAACCTCGGGCACGCTGCATTCGAAGCAGGGATATTGCGGCGACTTGTGTTTGCAGACTGTCTTTTTGTTTTTGGGGTATCACCGCAGATTAAAACTTGTAACATAGTCGTTGCCACACTTCCAGGAGTACTCGAGTCCGCGAACAAACATTCACACCGCTCCTACATCGTACAAAAGACGCGGTATTAAGACACGATGACAGACGGGTCTCAAGCTTGTTCGGGGCGTGTCTGCTTCGATAATGTCTGCAGACAGTGTGACCCACATGACAACAACAAGAGACGCGCCTCGGACAGTGGCTGGAGGCTGTCCTTTGTATGATGTAGTGGCAGTGGGACCGCGGCTTAGTAATACCCTGCTTCTCTTCTGATGACTTGTCTGGACGCCCTGGCCACTCAAGTTGACAGCTTTACCTCGCCGCCGTTCTCTATGCTGAGCGCAAGTTCGTCTGCTTCTTGCACAGAAGTTACGATGATGCCAGAACTCTGAGCTCTTATTGGCTGATTAAAAAATAGGGGGTAGACTTCGAGGCATCTAGCATTGACGTATACCCACTATCCTTCCAATCAAAGCCAATCAGAGCTCGGCGTCATTCTGACGTCACCGCCACTTCTGCGCAAGAGCAGACGACTTACTCTCCGCATAGGATCCTTCCAAGCCAGAGGAGACCCGCCATTTTTTTGTTATTTGGGATATGTACGAAACAATTGATTTGGATAAAAACGCCCTTGAACTCCAAAAAATAGTTTTTTTTTTTGTTAAAAATTAAATTTTATATTGGCTGATATCACGCTCTACCTTTCTGGAATTTATTTTATGAAAATTCCAGAAAGTATTAAGAAAAGCATCGAAAAAAGGATTGCGCACTGCACAAATTTAGGTGGGCGCCTAATTACTTAATAATATGACCTATTTTACACTAAAATACTAACATTGGAAGACGCCATTTTGGGTCCAAAAAGGAGCTCCAAAAAGAAGAGGCTTTATGAGATTTCTTTACATTTTTTTAGTCGAGTTGGAGTTGGGTCTTAGTCACAATACTTTTTTCGTTCGTTCTCATAGAAATAATAATTGAATTGAACTTGTTAAAGTTTGAAAGTCTCGTTTTGCTGCGTTTTAATTAAATGACAAACTATCTAGTTTATGCAGAAACGGCCATATTTCGAGCTTGAAAAAGCAATATGGGCAGCGGTGCCCGGAACTTTCGAAATATTCAAAAGTTCACTCCATCTTATTCGTTTAACGTATAAAAAAAATCAGAAAAGTACTTTTTGTTGTCGCCGAGAAATTTTTTTTTTTTTTAAATATGAGCCTCACCGGCCATGCGTCCAGGCGCCCACCACAAAGGCGACGAAGGCCGGCATTTACCAGCGAGGCATCAACGGTGTGCGACGCCGCCGCAAAGTTCACAACGCTCTCCTGAAAACACGTTTTATTCAGGTGAAGTGGATGTTATCCTGACTTCAATGCATCCGTATCTTCTTTACGTTACGTAATGATACTGGCATCTTAATGTTACTCTACTTCTGCCTAGGTAACTGCCCACGAACGCAGGCCTTCATCGGCTGCTTCCCGAGTTTGGGATTGCGTACTGCGCGACAGTATCGCCTGTCGTATGTCCAGATATGAAAACAATTCAGGCCAAATGGCTCTCCACCGACGTGCGCAATATTGAAATGTTGAGTAGAAACGCGAAAACTGATCGATGAATATCTATGAAAAGCCTGTCCTGCCTTGTTTGTGTCTATTTTCCTTGATTTGTTCGCGCTTTTAAGCTTTTAATTGAAAGAGAAACTATTACCATTTTGCAAAATGTGTGAATTGGTAAAGCCTCTGAATAGTATAGTTGGCATCAATAATCCAATCGCCACATGAGTGATAAAACAATTAATTAAAATGTTAATCAAAAATATCTTTAATAAACCGACTTACCGTGAGACTCATTACCTCTTCTAAAGTCCGCGTAGACTGACACTCAGACTGCTAAGACGGCACCCGTGTAGCTCCCACGTTCTTATCAAACATACTACTTCTATAAATACTAGTGAGTTCAGAATTCGATACATTTTCTCCTAGGGGTGTGAGGAGTCTGAGGCATCCGCCGCAGAGAGTGAAATGCCTTTCCCATCATTATACTGTTTTTGGTATCACTATACATTTTCTATTAAAATAATTTCAGTTCAATAGAGAAGCGACATCACCGTTATCATTTCTCATCGATGAAGAGCTATCCGGTCTGTATAGTTCTTATATCTGGATATACGTCAGACGAGGCCAAAGCGCAGTGTACATTTCTAAGCTCGGGAAGCAGACGATGCGGGCCTGCATTCGTCTGCAATTAACTGTACAAAAGTAGAGTAAAATTAAGACGTCAGTACCATTACGTGACGTAGAGAGGATATGGATGCATGGAAGTCAGGGGAGTGCACGCTTCAACTGAATAAAACGTGTTTTCAGGAGAGGGTTGAAGACCTTGCGGCGGCGCCGTCTCACTCCGGTGACGCCTCGCTGGCGAACGCCGGTGTTCGTCGCCTACAAGGCGGGCAACTAAAGGCATAAAAAAAAACAAAAAACATATACAAAAATTATCATCCACAAAATGTATTTTTCAAATTTTTTGATATGTCAAAGGGATGAGATGGATTGAACCTTTGGCTATTTCGAAAGTTCCGAGCAACGCAGCCCACATTGCTTTTTCTAGCTCTCAAGACGGCCGTTTCTGCATGAACTGGAGATTTTGTCATTTAATTAAAGCGCAACAAAACGAGGCCTTGAAAATTTAACATAAGCAATTCAATTATTAGTTCTATGAGAACAAAGAAAAAAGTATTGGAGACAACACCCAAGTCCAAGCTGACTAAAAAATGTCAAGAAATCTCATAAAGTCTCTTTTTGAAGCTCTCATTTAGACCCAAAATAGCGCCCTTCAATGTTTGTATTTTCGGGTAGGATAGTGCATATTTTTAGGTAATTAGGCGCCCACCTAAATTTATTTGGTAGGCCACCGTTTTATCACAATTTTTTTCTTAACAGCGTGGATTTTATGCAAATTCCCGAAATGTAGAGCATGATATCAGCAAAAATGAAATAAAGTTTTTTTCACAAAAATATACTCGACATGGAGTTCACAGGCGTCTTTATCCAAATTATTTTTCTTCCTACATATCCCAAACATGAAAACATTGACGCGTCTTCTTTGCTATGGAATGATTCAAAACCTTCATGCTGCCAAGAATGCATTCATGGGTCGACCCGTTCTCGGATCATGTTCCAATGTGTGAGACAGCAATGTGCAGACATGTTGGCCTTCTATTGGGAACAGTGGTGACGGCTACTGACTCCTGGCACTTCGTTCTCGGCAACACCAGGGCGAATAATAAAATAGCTGGTTACGCTAAGCTAAACCAACGGCGATGTTACATACTCATTGTAAACCCAAGAGACATCAAGAGACACTGACGCGAAATCGTTAAATTTTATCTAATAAAAAAGTAGAGTTTTGTCTCCGGAATTTTTTTAAAAATTGCGTTATGAGGTTTCTTGAATTAACACTAAACTTTGCTAAAGTAATTTTGAATAATCTCAGCGTATTTGATTATGACAGAAGGAAAAAAAGTTTTCAAAAGCTTCATTCATCGGGTTTCAATGCTTCGGTTTCTTCGCTCCGTATTCGCGATTCAACAACACAGTGCGAGAAGATGTCAGAGCAAAAATCATTTCACCAAAATGATCAACTTTAAACTTTCCTTATATACTGGTTGATGTCGCATATCCTACATCTCACAAAAATCCAACGTTTTTATCTTGTGAGACTATACGGTTTTCACTAGAAAACGCGTAGAGCGCTTAGGTAGAAAGAACCCCCTACTTGATCGATTTATTCATTTTTGTACACTGGGAGTTTATGTACACCGCTAAGATCACTCTCTTTATTTCATCCAAAGCCTGTTCTTGTAACCCAGAAAACCACATAAAAGAATTTTTCACACCATTTACAAGACTAAAAAAAAGCAAAAAAAAACTCATGTGTAGCTTTGACGCGCTTTAGAACGCCACAGCCACACCGCCTGCCCCTTCTCGACCGGGGGTGTAATCTTTACTATTTGGTTCATCCCTGTTAACATTATCGCCGCCGCCTTGTCACTCATTGAGCCAGCCATACTGAGGTGAGCGTGCCATGAACAGTTGAGCACGCGAAAGTGAAGGGCACGCTGATTATATTACTAGGCTTTAAGGCATGGCCCCTTTCGAGCTACGAGTGACTCGAATTCAGCTGTAAGTTATTCGACGTTTCACAGCAATCGAAGAGCTGGGCAATCGATATTTTTCTTCAACGCGGAGGAGAGGGGTGATGGGACGTATTGACAATAGAGACATGGACTAACCCCAAACGCTATAA